TGACTTGAGCTTCAAGCTACATAAAGGCATCATGAAACAGACGTCCAGCAGGTTGACTAGATGTTATGCAGACAGGGAGGGGACCCCAGAGGACCCCAAAGGGCTGCTTTGTGGTATTTGTGGAGACATTACTCTGTTCTCAATTGCACATGCAAGGAAGGGGTCATACTGCCCATACTTTACTCCATTTTCCAATCTTCCTGAATTTTTATTCTTTTGACATTTTCTTACTTCTGGTGTGGGCCCATGATCACTCTGAAAACTTGGCAATAGAATTCAGTCTCTTGGATTTTGGCCTTTCACATTCCCTACAACATACCTTAAGCTTGCTCTTGGTTCTTCCCACTCCTATTTTACCCCCCACCCCCACCCCCCAGACTGGAGCTTGGGGTAATGGGCCTCTTGGTCCTATCATAAAGGGTAAAATAATGCAAACTATGCTGAAAAAGAAAGACGTAAAGTACAGTCACAATTATCCTGTATATTTTGTTTTCACAGAGCCCTATCAGGTCTGAACAAGAGAAAAGTAGGTGACGAATGCAGTGTAGTGGACAATTTGGACAACAAACAGGAAACTGTTCAAATGGGTGATCAACACCAAACATGGGCACTGATTAAATTCACTAGGGAATTGCTCGATTCTCCCTGTCGCCTGGCTTTTCATGCACAGTCGTGGAAATGAATCTGTGAGTGTGGTATCCAACCTGCTGCATAATTCCTGACCTTTTGCAAGAGTATCGTTCATAATTAGCTTCATCAAACTGAACATGCCATTGTGCCCCTGGCATTTCCACGTTGGTCTTGTCCATTTTGAAAGTGGCTAATAACTATGGCTCAGCAAGAAGCAACACCATTTAAAACTTGGTTTCTGTTTTCTCTTGGTAACTTTCCCTTCCTTTTAAGAGCCTTGGTTATGCAATGTAGACAAAACAGCTACTGCTCCTGTGTGGCCATCTAAATAGTCTGTGAAAATATTTCATCTTAAGTGTTTATTTCCAAGGCTCTCCAATGAAGGCTCCCCTAGCAATTGGGAAAGTGTCCAAATCATCCAAATTCCAATGGTCTCTGTAGCCCAACCCTGCCCTTAGGTAAATATATTCTTCCCTAGCTTTCTTTTGCTGCCTTCTCCCAAAAATAATACCTCCTTTACCCTCATATCAATCAGCCAAGGTAATAGAAGCAGCTGCAATGACGCAAATAGACTCCGACTCCCTCTGAAAGCAGTTTGTATTAAAAACAAATAGAAAAAGAGAATGGCAGGAGAAAAACCAGAGAAAAAGAGAATCCATTGTTGATTATCCAGCTGTTTCTTTCTGTTCCCATGGCGTTCTGCTCTCTCTGAAACTGTGAGGGGTGATCCCTGAAGCATTCACACGTATATTCAATCGTTCAGATCATTGGGAAATTTTCTCCCCACAATATTCAATACACAACTCTTTGAGAACATTTAATCTCCTTTGGGTGCTCTGCAGACAGTCTTTTGTGATAAAAACAACCCCCCCAGTTATAGAATTGGAAGACTTGAGTGTAAGATCATATTCTTTGATGTACTGTGTGACTTTGGCAAATTATGGAGCTATTTGTACACCTGATCCTCGTTATTTGTGTGCAGAAGAAACCTGGGCAGCCTCTGTGAAAATTTTTACTTTACCGGAGGAACACTCAAGTGTTATTTTTCTTAATCTCTGACATGTTTTACTTTGTGTGTGCTGCTATTTTAGTCTCCTCCACAACACCATGAGCTCCACGAAGGTGTAGATTATCTGCTTTAGTCACAGCAGCATCTTGAGCACTTCACAGAATATTGGTGCTCAGTAGCTGTTTTGCTGAGAGAATGCAAAAAGAAATGCGCACACAGATTCATCCCTACCTGGTGTATGATTGCTTAGAAAGGATCATGTCCTTTCTGCTTTCTCTGCTTACCAAGTGGCCGACAAAATTGCTAACACACTGTGAGAAAGAAACCCCATTGTGACTGAGCATTTCAGGAGAGAAGAAACGCCTGTGGGTTTGTAGATCTTGCCTTCGAAGCTGAGCAGCTCAGAGGAAAATCTGAATCAGTGACCAGAAGGACTGGCTTATATAAGTATGATGATCTATTGCTGTCAGCCCTTGCACGTATAACTGTAACTGGAGAGATAAGTTTCACTTTCCCGACAGTGGAGAAGAAGTGGGACATTGGAGGAAGCATCCAGGGCGCATCAGGGATATGGACATAAATAAAGCTTCTTTGGGATTTCTCTCTGTAGTCCTCTCACAATCGGGAGGTACGATAGCTCTATTCAAGATGCCCAGGTCAGCTTCTTTGGAAAATCATAACGTAGACACTATGAAACTTTGTATAAAAGAGAGTAATCATCTCAAAGTAGGTCTTGAGGGGGGTAAAGAGTCTTGTTCTCTTAATTGGCATATTTGAACTTCAATCTGTCACAAGGGAAGACACTGCTAACTGGGATGAGCTCCTATATAGGACACCTTCAGTTCCACACTGCCCATAAACAGGCTATTAAACTGGCTCCTGCCGAGTTCCCACCCTGCGCTGCGGTGAGCGGCTCCTAAACCTCGAGACTCGGCTTCCCTCTCTTTGCCTGTTCCACACAGATGCTCCATTGCCTGTTTGCAACTACGATTTGTAATAAACGTTCAATTTACCGGATTTCTCTCAGAAATGTTTACAGCACTCTCGGACACTTCAGAAATAAGAGAATAACTGTTTGAGGCACTCAGCACCCTGGAAGTCCCTTTACATAATCTCTCCTGATGGGTTTGCTCACTTTTCTCAGCGGCCTCTAATGAGGCAGCAGCATAACCCTGCTGTGCCGATGGCTGTCCTGTCCTAACAGTGATGAAACAGGTCCATCAGCTCAGCCTCAGTGTGGTTCCCTGCTCTGCCGCCCCTGGAAAGGCTGAAGTGTGATTTCCAAGAACAAATCAAGGTCGTTTGAATCTTGGCTGTGTGTGTATAAACACACACACACACACACACAATATTTATTATAATATTTATTCACATTTATGTTAGGGTATTTTTAGTGAATAAACTGTTTCGTTATTATAATTCATATATGGTATAATACTTGCATTGTCATTAATAATAATCACATATAATTTGTATTCTGATCGCTTTTATCTTGTCATCTACCTTCAGAAAGCAAAGAATCTTTACTCTCAGTTTTTACCTCAGAAATCGTTCCTGCTGAATGAGTGAGAAGAGTATTCACTCTTCACCTTCCCACAGAAATCCGGGGCCCAGTTTGAGGCCTCGGTTTCATCTTCTAGAATCAAACAGATTGAAGCCCCAATAATTGAAATGAATTTGGGTGATAAATACAGTTGAATATTTTGACAATGCCTAATAGGACCTCGGAAGGGAACTTGTGGTTAAGAATATAACATGCACACATAGAAGAAATTCTGCTATATATCATTTTGAAAAAAGTTTTTTTTAGATGGGCTAAAAAATGACCCTTGTAAATGGATCATTGACTTAAAAATAGTTTATCTGTAAATTGTGCAAAGATATAATTTAGCCAGCAGTATCAGTTATTCCAATTTCTGAAATACTGCCCAAATTAAAACTATTAATTTTCTTAAAATTTCCCACTCAAATATAAACGCTTAGAGGAATACTACAAAATCTCTCTAATACTCTTTGTGCGATGTTTTACATATCGATTTGGCTCATGTACATTTTTTTTCAAGAAATGGAAAAATGCAGATATATTTTTCTTTTGCAAAATCAATGTCTTTAAGCATTATAATTAGGATTTAATTTGATGATCTGAATTTTATCTGTCTTTAATTCATTTAGGTACTTTTTTTTAGTTCAGTGAACTTGCGAGAAGAGGAAGTAGATGTTTGATTTTTTGCTCTGTTTTTGCATCTCATTCTAAAACCTGTCTCCTTACTTACTTTGTACAACAGATATCAATAATATTGTTTATTTTCATAGTTGTAGTGACTTTAAAGCCTTTGAAATTGATTTGAAGTAATATACTATTGCCTGGCATTGAATAAAGGGCTGGAGCATGCCAAATTGTATTGTATAGAGTGAGTATTGTATAGAAACTGAACTACGCATCATTCAAAGGAACTGGAATAAATGTCCATAAAAACTCTGTTGTCCTGATCTACTCCTAATATTAATTTTTTTTAAATTGTATTTATTTATTTTTAGAGAGAGGGAAAGGGAAGGAGAAAGAGAGCAAGAGAAACAGCAATGTGTGGTTGCCCCTCGCATGCCCCCAACCAGGGGCCTGGCCCACAACCCAGGCATGTGCCCTGACTGCGAATTGAACCAGCAACACTTTGGTTCACAGGCTGCCATTTAATCCACTGACCACACCAGCCAGGGCATAATAATTTTAATATTAAAAATATTAAACTCGGCCCTGGCTGGCGTAGCTCAGTGGATTGAGCGCGGGCTGGGAACCAAAGTGTCCCAGGTTCGATTCCCAGCCAGGGTACATTCCTGGGTTGCAGGCCATAACCCCCAGCAACCGCATGTTGATGTTTCTCTCTCTCTCTCTGTCTCCCTCCCTTCCCTCTCTAAAAAAAAATAAGTAAATAAAATCTTTAAAAAATATATTAAACTCAAGAAGCACAAAGTGTGCTTTTTATCTGCCAATACACGTAAACCAGATTGGAAGACTCTAAAATTCTTACCTATAAGACGAAAATTACCTTTTTTTGCTTCAAAGATGTGAAGCTCAATCTAAGACAAAAACCCAGCATATTACCCATGAGAGATGCTATCTGAAAACATGCATGTAATCTTTGAACCCTTCTCTGATTATTTTTTAGTTGTTACAACCTCATCATCTAGCTTCTATTTATTGTTCTTTTTCAAGACAGCCTGCTGTGAATATGTCTTCCTCCTTGCATGGTACTAAAACTTCTGCTTCTTTTTTTCCCCACCCTTCTCCTCTCCGCTCCTGCATCCTCTCCACATCTGCGGGTGTTGATAACTCCTCCGTTGTGGCTGTGGCCCTCTCCGTCAGCCATGTGGGCAACTGAACCAGACTCACCTACGTGCCACTCCGCTGCCTCGCCTGCCAGGAACCACTCCCAGGAATCCAGGTTCGTTGTGGGGTGTGGAGTCCAGGGGGTTAATACAGACAGGTTGTGACCAGGGCCTCCTTTTTTATTCCAGCATCCCGTGAGCCCCCTGGGTACCCAACCCTCAGATTTCGACCCTGATTTTGGAGGCTTCCTGGTTTACAGAATCACTTCCACCAAAATGCAAACTCTGCTGTGCACCTTACCTATTTCTGTAGCCAAATATCACCCTTTCTGTGTCCCATCCCTTCAGGGACCTGCTGCTCGCCTCCAGTTTAAATGATTCTAAACCACTAATAGGGAATTCGGTGTCAAGACTAGACAGAAAATTTTAGTTAGGCAAGGAAGAGAGACACATACATAATAAATAACAAACAGTAAATATGTGTGTTATGTACATCCTATAGAATATTAGAAAATGATCATACTGATGCTAAGACAAATAGAGCAAGGTAGGAGAGATTGGGAAGCCGAGGGTAGGGAGGCCTGGGTGGCAACTCCATAGGGTGGTCGCGAGAAGCCCTGTTGAGAAGAGGCACTTGAGAAAATTCTAGCAGAGGTGGTAAAGCAACATATGCAGGTCTTCGACCAAAGAGCATTCCAAGCAGAGGTTACAGCTAGCGAAAGTGCTAATACAACAGTGCGCCTGCCCATTTTAGGAATGGCAAGGAGGCCAGTGTGGCCAGAGTGGAGGGAGGCAGTGTGGAGGACACGAGGTCCAGAGGTGACTTGGAGTCCAAGCACGTCGGGCCTTGTAGCCCACGGCGACAAACTGTACAGTTTTCCTTCAGATGGAAGGCAGTGCTACCGTGAGGTTTTAAGCCCAGAAATGACCTGTAAAGGGATGCCACCGGTGTCGATTGTTGTGTCACTTTGTATTCAGCCACAATCACTTAGCACGAGAGCATTTTCTTATGTAAATGTTCAGGGGAGGGAACGGCAGGTTCATGTCTGCGTTCTAACTCCATCAGATGTAACTGGTAGTGAATATATTGTTTCTTTTTCTTTTTTTTTCTGTTAATAATATTGAAGTGAGCATCTCGGTACCTGTCTTTGTTTTGGCGTCTGCCCTCTGGAGTAGACTCCTACCAAGACTATTACTAGGTAACAGACGTGCACAAATAAGCAGGTTCAGATAGTTTCTCCTGAAAGTCATATACATTTCTGCTCACAGAAGCAACGTGTAAAATGTCACATATTATTTTGATAACAGAACCATACATAAGTTTTCCTAATTTAAGAGACCAACAAAATACATTCATTCATTTATCAGCAAAGAATTCTTTAAAAAAAGATGTTATTCATTCATTTTTAGAGAAAGGGGAAGCAAGTGAGAAAGAGAGAGAGAGAAATATCAATGTGTGGTTGCCTCTCATGCATCCCCCCACCCCCAGGGGACCTGGCCAGCAACACAGGCATGTGCCCGGACCAGAAATCAAACCAGCAACCCTTTGATTCATGGGACCACACTCAATCCACTGAGCTACACCAGCCAAGGCTCAACAGAGAATTCTTAATATCTTCACTCTACACAACCAACTCTCAACATCTCAGAAGGACACATACCCATATTCTTCACACACTTATTTCTTATCTTTCCTTTTACTCCCCTTCTCTTCATTATACCATTTCACATAACTGACTTTCAGTGTGAATGACCACCATCCGTGATTCAAGCAGAATCCCATTCCTCTTCTCCCTTCCTGTAGCATTTCTTTAATTCAGTTACAGGATGTGATGTCTGGGGTAATTGAATCGGCCTCCACGGAAGCCAAACTCTCCATATCCCTGGATGAAAAGGTTTACTAAGCCAATAAATTAAAGGGGCAGGCAGAAACACGGAGGAAAAAAAATACATACCATTCCTTAGAAAAATCAGTCTTGTGCATTTATTAAAGTTTTGCAATTAAGTACTGTTTCAGCAGTACAACTCCTTCCCTCCTGAAGCACCATCACTTCAGACTTTCGCACACATCAGATCTGTCTTCTGTACACTTCGGGGCTTTGCCTCAGTTATGAGTACCGTCCCACAGCGAGAGATGTGAGACTGTGTGGCTGAACAGGCCACATCTTCACACAGCCTTAGCCTGAATTAATTCTGTGATCTCCTGGATTTAAAAATGCCTTGGTTATTCTTTGTTTTATAAATTCATGAAAATAGCTGAGTCAACATAAGCATGGAACTTTTTAAAAGATTTTATTTATTTATTTTTAGAGAGGGAAGGGAGGGAGAAAGAGAGAGAGAAACATCAATATGCAGTTGCTGGGGGCTGTGGCCTGCAACCCAGGCATGTGCCCTGACTGGGAATCGAACCTGTGATGCTTTGGTTTACAGCCTGCGCTCAATCCACTGAGCTACACCAGCCAGGGCAACATGGAAATTTTTACTGTATTTATTTTAGAAACCCAGGTCTGAGAACAGATAAGAGAAATGTCACTATAACAAGCATTTATTCAAAAGGTTTGCATTACTATGTTAAAGTTAATATCAAAATATGCTGAAAGTCTAACAATAAAACTCTCAAGAGTAAATAAATATATAAGGTTTAACATGGTATCATTTCTTAACTTAATATTGAATGTTTTTCCTAAGCCAGCACTATGCAACTGCCTTATAAGCATAACCTCATTTAACCACCAGCATCCACCAGTCTAGATGGACCAGAAGGATTCCATGATGAAGCTACTAGTATAATCTGCATTTACAAATGAGGAAACTAAGGATTAGAGAAGTTGAAGTAATGTGTTCAGCTTTATCCAGCTAGTAAGCAGTAGAGTGGAAACCTGAACCTGGGTTTTGCAAATGCCAAAGCATTGGGGTTTGTCTGCATTCGGACTCGCTTAGATTCCACGGTCATAGAAGAAAAGGACTAGAAGAAATGTTAGAGGGTACAGTGGGAAATAACATGGCACAGCATTGAGAGACGCGGGTCCAATCCCAGATCTGCTGTCTGCCGGTGCTATCACCTTGGATTGTGCATTAACCTCTAACACTTGATTCCTCATCTACAAAAAAGGGGGTAGTTAAATGACTGTGTAAAGTATTTTATAGAGTGCTAGACACCTGCTATGCATTAAACATTGTTCACATTTGTTAGAAGTAGCATAAAGAAGATTGTACAAGAGAGTGAAGAACTTGCCAAAGTGTTTTGGTGAAAGATGAAAAACAGTTGGAAGCTCAGGTAGTTACTGTAACATATTCTGAACTAAAGTCTAGATGCAGCAGAATGCGGGGATATAATGAGTTTTTCACCATTCAAATCTATACTTAAAACTTAAAAAGAAATAAGTAAAGCACCCTAGAGACAAATTATTCAACACTAAGCATCTAATGGTCTTCTGGTATAAATACACATTTATGCAACACTAAATTAGGAGCAGTAATGTATATATTTTCCCTTACATTAAAGTAACATCTCTTCGCACCTACACCATTTGTGAGACATATATCTTAAATATTCCCCCGTAGCCCTCATTAGGAAAGGGGAAGAAAAGCTAAGCTGTCATGTTCTCTTATCTGATCCTCTATTCTGAACAAGGTGTTTCAGTGTCAAAATTATTTGGGGGCACCTTGGTGAAGACTGAGACTGTGAAACAATTTTAAAGGCCCAGAGACAATGAACACTATAGGGGGGATTAAAGGCATGAGAGCGTTATTTGCCATCACCTCTTTATTCAGAGATATATAGATTTGCAAAGCATAGCTTCTGATACACAGAAGGTGTTCAATAAAATTCATTTTATATTTTGTATATTTATATATTTCATATTTATTTTATATATATATATAATATACAATTACTGTTACAGAACAGACCCAGGGTTGGGGGGGTGAATAGTATACTATGACCAAAAGGACCCCCCTTTTTTCTCTGGGGTCCCCCCTGCCCCGTACTAGGTTTGCTTTGCCTGCCACCAGAGGAAAGAAGTCTCTCAATGCCAGAGGTTGGTGAAAAGGAAAGGGATTATTTATTTAAAAGTTATACAGACTTAGAGTAACGACTTAATGTCTTCATTAAAATACTGAAGTTCTTTAGAATACCCACAAATGCACAGTCCTTCCTTCCCCCCTTTGCCCAGTCTGGGGTACGGTATCTCAGGAAAAGGAGCAGAAGTCCCTGGTTCAGGCAGCCCCTCGGTTCCGGCACCATCAGCTGTGTTGCCACCACGATCTCCGAGTGGTCCCAAACTACTCTGCCACAGCAGTGTGGTCCTCTCCGACTTGGTATGGCTGCCGCACCTGGGTTTTAATCCCCACACCAGTCTTCCTCTGCAGCCCCATTTCCGACTCCTCCCACAATCAGTGACACCCGCCAGCATTCCTGTCTTCTTCCAGCTTTACTGGGCTGCCTAGTAAGTCCGGGCAGGCGTAGCCAGCCCCATGGCATGGAGCCAATCACCTCCAAGTTCTCACGCAGGCACTGTAACCTGGGGGAGTTGCTTCCCAGTTACATCCAAGTTGAAGTCACTCCCACCCCCCCACCTCAAAGCACAACCACAGCTATTTAACATATCCATGAAACCAGTTAAAGGTTATAGATATGTTAAACGACCAGGCCAGAGGTTAGCTGCAAAGCTGTTGCTATGCAAAACAGCTCTCAATGGCCCTGCTCCCTGTGTCCCATCCCCCAGCGCAGACTGGTGGGGCGAGGACATCATATATCTATCTTTCTCTAATATTTCCCAAACACCCTGAGTTCTGGGCCCCATTACAAATCCTCATTTGCCCCCGCCCTTGGCTATACCCTGTTACATTACCACTAACACTGTTTTGTAGTACAACCCTTTTTTTATATTAAAAAGGTGACTTCTTGATTGTTTTTTCTATTCTAATCTACTTATTTTAATACTGTTTCCTTATGAAGTAGTTTATTTTCACTGGACATGTCTGAGAGATTTGGCAGTTGCCTGCATGAAAAAGTCACTACTGAACAGTATTCAATATAATTTTTCATCTTAAAAGATTTAAGTGCATCTGGTACTAAAAATAGGGAAATTACCCATCATTGGTGTTTACTAAT